CACGTTTCCATTTATACATTTGTCTGTGAATATATATTCACATGACAAATGAAAGATTTTTGGAAATTGGAAGTATCATATATTAAATCCATAAATTTGGTTTATATTCATTCATCATTCATGGCAGATTGCTAATGTATTGCTTTGCTGGAGACTTGTTCATGCCACCAGCTGATCCATTGCGGAGAAATGGGCCTTCACTTGATGAATTCTTGAAGAAACCAGGTTAGACAAGAGGACAGATACGATTATTCTCCCCACAATGCCATAAATTTTCTTGCACTGGTTAAATGTGTGATTGAAATAGAAAAAATATAATTCCTCAGGAATCTTGTTTAAGATAGTGTAGTAGTAATTGAACTGTCATAGATTTTAGTGAATTGGGACCGCATGCTTCTATTATCTTTTGCCTCATTTGGTCAGTCAAATGTAATATGGTAAAGACGTAATGGAAACTACGGAACTGACAGTGTTTTGGTCCCCAATAGCTTAATGAGAAAATTGAGGGACATGCATTTTTTTTTAAAAACGTATAATCTTGCAAATATTTGCAAATGTTATACGACATCATTGAAGATGTAAAGCTACTCCTAGTTTAAAATGTGATAATTGTATATATAAAACACATGTAAAACGTTAACATTAAAATTTAGCAAATGTTTATGCCTTTTTACTTGTTTTAATCCATTAGGTTATACCAGCAGTGGAAGTAATCAACAGTCCAAGGCAGCCTTTCTTCAGCTTGCTGCTTTCGAAACTATTTTTCAGAAGGACGAGATGCCGTTGGCACACAGATCATGAATTGATTCCCGATTTGTGAACACTTGCACACAGCCAGTTCTTAAAATGATTTTTCATTCCCATCATTTGACATGAATACATTTGATGCAATTATCAGTTTTACATTCTTATACCCTGTGTGTGGACCACGCAGCCATCTTTAAGGTCGTTCAGAATCTTATTTGCAGAACTTTTTTGAAGGACTGGTACGACCGGAAGAGAGGCACAAAAGACTCACTTTGTTCCAAAGTTTTGAAGAACTCTACACAAATCTTTAACCCTTTTTGTGGAAATGTATTTTCCATTTCCACTAAAATGAGAATAAATCTGATGGATTATTACATGTTTATTTCTCTTAAATTTTAAATCTTTGAATACTTCACAATTGATGTTATTTGTATGTAATTTAACTACTTGTGTTACTTTTAAATCATTGTGTATTTATTTTATTGTTATTGTAATAACTTTATTCATTAAATTTGACATTTTTACAGAAATTAAGTTTAGCTGTTACACCCGATAACACGCAGTTCGTAGAAACATTGCATTTGCTATTGGTGACCGAGATTTCAGATAATTTCAGCACTGCTTAAGCAGTTTATTTTTTTAGTAATATTCGTTCAGTAAAATCAAATCCGTACATGGCCTACTTTGATGCTGCTACGTCTCTTCAAAGGAAGTGATCATGTGACCCTATCACGTGGTTCGTTTTGCGTTTCAGTTAAAGTGAAGGTGTCATTTTTATTTAGTTGGATTTGATTCATAAACATTTTGTTTTACATTGTTTTTTTTTTTCTAGGGAAATAAATTAACTTTACAAAGCTTGTTGGCTTCTCTTTTTTGTTTTGTAAGAACCATGACACATAACATACAAAAGTATTAGTATATTGTATATTTATATTGTATATTTATATGTTGCTTGTTATTTCATAACGCAAAAGATGTAGGCTATTTGATGTATCCTCGTGTTATAGGTCTTTAAGAAGTATGCTAAAAATTCAAAATTCTACGTTCACCTCCCCGTGACACCATAGAGGGACAAAACAACCATGTTTTATAGATTAATTGTCACAAATAATCAAAGTACCATGCTAGAATTTTTATCAAGTATTTTAAGATGTGTGGTTATTGATGGACATACGGATGGATAGAGGACATAGTATTAATTCGCATGGCATGGTCATGATAAACGTGTTTAGAACATATACATGTATAAATCGCGCCGATTTGCGAGGATAGAACTTTCCCTGACCAGTCATCATAAGCTGTTAATTTTCTTCCAATTCGTACATTTTGTACACCAGGCAGACAACTCAGTAAGCAGAAACTGGAAAAAACTTCATTGTATGCTGTTCTGGCCTTCGACACTATACAACTTATGTACCAAGTTTTAATTTCTAATTGTCGGTGGATATGGATAGGAAGATGAGCATATATAGGTATCAAACCACTACAAAATGAGGATAATCCCAAATATAGCAAACGTCCATCTAGAAAATCGTATTGGCTTGTGAGGAAAATTTCACCGACCGGTCATCTTAAAGTTACTAAAACTTTCCTTCTGATTAGTCATTTATAATCTCTTGAAGCTTGATGTTTTGAAGGCCTTTTTTAAGCATGTTTAGAAGATACAAAAATGACCTGAGCACACAGCCAATTTAAAATTAAACAGATCTCTATACCATTTTTAAAAAATCCCGTTCCATTGGTTTGAATGAAATAAGAAACATATTGCATTAATACATATTCACCTGCGGGCCACGAGTGGCCGAGTGGTCTAAAGCGCTGTCCGTTACGGATCACTGCCATCTCATCTCTGTCTACGAGTGTTCGAGTCTAGGATTCGGCGAATGTGGATATGTGAGAAAGCTTGCCAGTAGCTTCTCGTGGGTCGGTGGTTCTTTCCGGTGATTTCCCGGTTTCTTCCTCCACCATTAATACTGGCCGCCATGAATAGCCTATAGTGTGCTGAAAAATGGCGTTAAGCACAACAACAACATATTCACCTATATTTTTTATCCGGCGATCGTCTTGTTTATTGATCCTTTACAGGTTCCGTTTCAAAGGCTTTAGTGGCCTAGAAGCCCTGGTCTTAACTCAACTTGTCCAGGTCAAAATGACCAGTACAGGGGCAAACAAAACCCCATGACAACTTAAACAAATCTCTATATTCCTCCTAGAAAATCTTTTCTACTCCAATGACAGAAATAAGGATACTTAGAACACAACTTTTTTTACATGATGGAGAGGTTAAATCCGAAGTTTGTATCTATAAATCGTATTGGTTTGTGAGCAAAATTTTTTAGCTAATTGGATTTTATAAGTTTTGACCTTTCTTCCGATTCTTCTACCTGGTGAATAGACTAGGGAATCGTTTATTTATAATCACTTGATCTATTACAGGTGTTGGTTTTTAATTCCTCTTTATTTATCTTTTATGCAAGTTCTCGGATGTTCCCTTTTCGAAGCCGATATGACAAATACATGATGAGAGACCAACGTACTATATCTCTTTTTAAAATACCGTAAAATCGTATCTAGACCCTTCCTTTGTGGATTGGAGGATAGTGGCCGAGTGGTCTAAAGCGGTATCCGTCTGGGATTGAATCTGGGAATCGCCAATGTGGGAAGTTGCTTGCCAGTAGCTTCTCGTGTTTCTGTGGTTTCTTCCACTATTTAGACTGACACTCCTGTAAAGCTCATCTTCTATTGAAACATGGCGTTAAACCCAACAAAATACCTTTTCCTATGAAAACCTTTCCCATTGCTACGACTGGAAAAAGAATTTGTTTCAATATTCTGGTTTATTCGATTAGCTTAAAAATCAGTATATTTATATTTAGCTATTAGCATATTATATTTATATGATTAACATTAAAAAAAGGACGCGTGACATTTAAATTTCAACAATCCTCCTGGTTCTTTCTCGTGTCTTAGCTTTTTATATAATGCTGTTTACTCGAGAAATTACTCATTATTGCATATAAGATGCAAAATCAGTCTTATTTTTGCATTCAGTATTAATTTGGATTGAATTTATTCAAATTATTCACTGGAAATAGAAAAGGGTCAATCTATAATATTCTTGGAATGGAACATTAATTTTGAATTATTGGTGATTTCAGATTTAAAAAAATAGCTTTCTTATTATATTTGTGATATATCAAAAGACTATTAAGACATCATCACACTTCAGGCCCTTGGGATAAACCAAGTTCGAGACTACAGGCACATTAACGCATCCCATATTGGAATATAATTGGAATTCCCTTGGAACTTTATACATTTTTACTTGTGATGAAACTTTTAGGCTTCTTTGGGACTGAATACTGTACATTGTTAGAATTTTCAATATATATACCAAGGCAATAAATTAAGTGTTACAAAACTTGCTCGTTTTCGCTTTGTTACTTAGTTTAGGTCACACCTATAGGCGATATCGCAAAATTTACTCCAGCAGGAAAAAAATTAAACCGGTCAAGATTTCTATCACACAAATGCTTGGAAAATGTGGTACACCGAAAGTCATCCTGGAGTTTAGTCCTATAATGTAAGACATCTGAAGATCTTACTGCCTAAACACCGGTACTGTGTAGCGTGTTCTAATGTCGACTAACTTCTTAACGAAAAGTAATATCTCGCATACTTGGCAGCCAATATCGATGCTTTTCTACATTAACGTCTTGTTTTAGTCAAACTTTATTTACTCTGATGTCGTGTTTCTAATAAATACAAATTTGCACTGAAGCAAATGGACATGTTCTCAAGTTCCGTTGGCCAACATTTCAGTTACTTGGAAAGCGATGTAAGCAAGGAATGCGGATATCGGATTAAGTTGAAGTATGTTCTTTTAACTTAACGAAAAAAAAATTTATATTGAAGAAAATGTTAATATAGCTTCAAGATTCTTATCATCCGTTGAACCGATTTCGGTATTCCCAGCTAACATCGCGCTCCAACTAACTAAAATGTATGCCTTTAATCGATATCGTAACACGCTACACGGCGCCTATGTAAGACATCGACCCCCAAGACATAAATATCAGGGTCGATGTCTTTCAGTCTAGGACTACCTAGAGATAAGAAAAAAGTATTTGCTCAACTCATTAAAATAAACATAACGGCAACGAATGTTTTTTTTTTCTTTAATACAATAAATTTCAGGACTTACACACCTTTGCTCTGATATTTAAAGGATTTTCTTCCTCGTCTTATATATAAACCTCTCCTGTGGCCTAGTGGTTATAGCTTCCGACTCGAATGAGGGAGGTCGTGGGTTCGATCCCCAGCTGAGTCATAAAAGACTTACGAAAACGGTACTCACAGCTGCCTCGATAGGCTCTCATCATTAAGGGGTTAGTGTTAGGTCTGGTCGGCCTGGTGTCAGGATAATGGTGGAACATCATGTCACATGTCTGTGGCATGATGCCCGGCACTAGATATAACAATAAACTGCCACACTGGAGACACCTTAGAGACATGACTGTTTTAAAGCTGCGTTAGAAATCCAAATCACACACGCACAATTCCTCGTAATATGTATATAGAAGTGGATACGATTGCAATGAATCACAATAGTTTTTTTTATGATACCTAAGAAACACTAATATTATATAAATATATAAATAAAATACCAGTGCCGCAGTTACTTCCTATGTATGTTATATGTATTGTGCTATATTGTATGTATCTATATAGTATATTTGTGAGGACAGCTGCTATATCCAAATCATTTCCATAGAAACAAAACTTCTAGTATGTGTATATATTGTCACTAATTCATGTTTAATATACACACATATACTGAGAAAAAGGAGATTTTTTATTTCATTTATATTATTAGTTAATTTATGTCATTTTGAATTTTGGACTTTTTTTTAGGTTGAGACGGTGCATAATATATTTAAAAAACAAGTAAAATTTATATCTGACTTTGCGTATTGTAACGTATTTCCCTTTATATAGGTACTATATATTTAATTATAAGATGCAGTAACTATGTTACTCCCTGCATGTTTTTAAAGCAATTTTCATTATAATTATTATAAGTTGTAAAAAATTAACAAAAAGGACAAAAAAAAAAAATGAAACAAAGAGCTACACATGGGATTTTCGGAGGCTCTTCCGCAGGCCTGCCCACTTCGCGTATCGCCATGTGATATAGCCCTACGACGTCCTTGTCTCTTACTTCTTCCATGTGTAAATTCCTGTCAATAAAGAAAAAATAATAGATATTAGGTTATTATTAGTACAATTGTTAGTTTGGTTAATCTTTCATTTCCTAATTCTTATAACTTTCCCACACTTTTTCATTATAGATATAAGGTATTCAATTATTTTCATATATGTATCTTTTTTAAAATTTCCGTCTAAATATAAAAGAATGTTTTTTCTAAAATATTCCGTTTTTGTATTTTCTTTGATTATAGTATTCCTTTCTACATTTAACTTTTTACATTCAGTTATTACATGTATTTTAGTAATTTGTTTATTTTACATATGGGACACTTAGGCATTTCCCTTATCATGTGTCTTCTTAGGGCGATTTTCCCCGTTAGCCATGTATTGTGCAAATATTGAAATATTATACTTTGCATTTTTAACGAGTTTATTTTTCCCCATTTTTTTTCATATTACCCCACCCAGTTTACCCCCATATTTCATTTTCAATTTTACTTCTGTTATTCTTATATTCTGCATTTAAACATTAGCATTTTTACATATCTTAATTTCCTTGGTACTTCTAATAGTCTACTTAAATTGTTATTTTTATAAATATTAGTCTATTTTTCATAATTAGCCATTACCATATATATATATATATATATATATATATATATATATATATATATATATATATATATATATATATATATATATATATATATATATATATATATATATATATATATATACAGTGCCTCCCAAGGCATATTGGGTTTAGATTTAAGAGTTTAAAAACGGTTTAAAATATTATTATGCTTTATTAAAATTGGGTTGGGTAAATTTAGACCTTCTCTATTTTTTGACTTATATAGTGTCTCTTTTTGAATGTAGTGGGTTCCATAACCCCATATGTATTTAATAATAACTATGCCCATTTTCTCTATTTTTTATTATCTGCATCATTTGATTTAAGGATATAATTCATATTGGAATATAAATATGTTTTGGCTACTTGTGCACGCTCCATTATACATAACGCCGTTAGCCAAGATATTTTTCCATGCTTTTCCTAAAATTCTCCGTTTTTGTATTTTCTGTGATTATAGCATTCCTTTCTACTTTTCACTTTTTACATTCAGTTATTACATGTATTTTAGTGAAGTTATATTTTTTGACATATGGGACACTTAGGTATTTTCCTTATTATGTGTCTTCTTAAGGTAACTTCCCCGGTTAGCCATGTATTGTGCAAAATATTTAAAAAAATATTTATAAAAATAATTTTGATCAAAAATTTTATTATGTTCTCAATTTTTGATGGTGTATTTATTCCTAGTGTATCTAACGGTTGACTCATCCGATAAGGTTTCATTTACCCTATCGGGGTCGTTCCCCTTGTTCATATTCATGTGACCTTGGCTAAATGACTCCTACGTCCTATGTATGTTATATGTATTGTGCTATGTTGTATGTTGCTGTATAGTTTATTTGCGAGGACAGCCGCTATATCCAAATCATTTCCCAGTTTTCCTAGAAACAAAACTTATAGTATATGTGTATATGTCGTCACTTCATTAATATTTAATATACACACATACTGAAAAAAAGTTTTTTTTTCATTTATATTATTAGTTATTTTATTAGTTTATTTATAGAATTTTGAACTTTTGACTTTTTGTAGTGTGTGACGTTGCATAATATATTAAAAAAGCACCTAATGTTTTTGTGAAGTGTAATTTCTAGCCATTTCTTCGCAATTAGAGTACTATCCCCAACCCACCTGTGTTGAATTGTGCGTTATCCATGTCATTTAAGCCCAAGAGATGAACAAGAACATTTTTGTACATTAAATCATGTTTGTTTATACTGAGCACGCAAAAAGAATGCTCCACAGTGTTATGAAAAAAATTAATTGCTTCGTGCTAATCCCAAAGCATGTTCCTGCACTACCTGGTCGCTGTTTTAAAACGTGAAAATGGCGTTGCATGTGCAAATAAAGTAATGGTTGAATGAAATAGGGAATTATATATTATAAGGTCTGATATTCCAGACGTTATTCGCAGGTCTTCGTTGTGGACAGTTTATAAAGGTGATTTTTTTACTCTCGGGTTTGTTAATTTCCAACGAAATATTGGTTATTACATTTATTTACGCGATTTGGCAACCATCATTGGGCGAGCCCGGATGCTAATTTTATTGGTGACGCAGCTGCGTGTCGTGATTTTCATGGTTCTTTTCCAAATATTTTGACAAGTTGTATATTGTACGTCTAACATTTCAATAAGACGACACGAGGACTTCGAAGGATTGCGGATTTATATATTGAAATGAAAGATTTTGAGGTAATGCTTTTTAAAAAAATGTAAAACTTTATATAAATGTTTCATATTAATGAACTGTAGTAAACAAGTATGGTACGAGTGATTTCCGCACAGGGGGATATTTATTTTGAGTATATTGAAAGAGGACGGTTATAATTTGGTGTCAATATACTGTTACTAAATATCCTCCAGGGAAATCGAGTCATTACCTATAAAGAACTTTTTTTTGTATTGGAATATCTATACTCCGAATTTCTAGGCAAATAGGTTTCTTGGGTGGACCGTCAATATGATTGGAGCATGTTATTTTGCGGGGGTGACGGTTGTATAAATTATATTTTGAAAGAAACACCAAACAGTTGTACTGAAAGCAGGTAAATTTCGAGACTAGGGGTAGTTACAAAGTATCCCAGAAGGAAATTTAGCGATTACCTATAGTTATTTCTGTATGGTAATTTATACTCCAATCGGAACGTTGTGTGTGTGTGTGTGTGTGTGGGGATATTTTTATGTAGAATGAGATTTTTATGTAGAATGAAAATGAAATTTAATGGAAACTTTTATTTAGGGATTTTAAAGATTTGAAATCGGCATTCTCACCTACATGGATTGAATTTGTTATCATAATATAATTAATATAATTCCTGGAAAATCTTGTATTACATTTACATTGAACTGAGATAATATATATTCTGGATGTTGTATTTATAATTGTTAAAATGAGACTTGTCTATATTGTTTGATTCAGTTAAACAGCGTATTGTACTGCTAAATCTACCCCTTTTATGTAGTATATTTCAATACTGTAAATGGACTATATTTATCTTTTTATTTCAGTAGCGTTTGATAGCTTATTATTGTAATGTTTTTAAGATATCCAAATAGTTTTAGTTCACTAATCTTGGTAAAATTCTTTCCCTAAATAATAACGTTAACATTTTAAAGAAACTTGCAGCATTGTGAAGTTGTTGCTTTTCAGCACACGAAAAGCTAAACATGGCGGCCAGTATTAATGAAGGAAGAACCCGGGTAAAAACCGGAAAAGACCACTGACCAACGAGAAGAGTTGTGAAATTTAAGACTAAATATTTTTTGTTAATGAATTCCCGGTCTTGAATCTGCCGATACAATAATTGCTTTGAGCTGTTGTGCCAGTTCAGTGATATACTCCATTTAGTCTATTTTTCAGGAATCCCAAAATTGTCTTCAGTCGAGGATCGCTTTGCAGTTTCAATGAATACTCTCTAAATTGTATTTCAACAGCATATGAATCTAGACAGATATTAAAAGGAACGAATAATCTGTATTTAAAACATAAATACATCCACACTAAACTTGTGTAGAACATTTTCTAAAACAAATCTTAAAATAATTTCCGCAAATTGTACACAAATTTTCTAAACCATTCTATTAAACCTTCTATTAGTCTTGATCTACGTCTAGAATTTGAACCGAAATAAAAATCTTTTAATTTAGAAATTAGACAAAAGCGGGTACGTTGCTGTATCTGCAACCACGGTCAAATGTAAAATGTTTTACTACAACTACTACTACTGCTACGTTTTTCATGATCTTAATTTGGTAAAATAGAATCGCTTTGCTTTTAATATCCGGTGTATTAAATCCTCCCTTTATATTGCTTTGGGGTTTAGAAGTTTACTGTTTAACTGGTCAAATGCATCATATACAGTAATTTTACACCAAGGACCGAAATTTAGGTTTTCTCCACCTATATTCTTGAAACTTTATTGTTTAAGCTATCAACGGGATATAACTTTTATGGCAATTGTTTGCCTAAATTTCGTCTGTT